CGTGATGTGGGTCGAATCATGCATCATGCTCTGTTCAGTTCAACCAAGCCTTCCATCCCTTCAGGGTCAGTAAGTTGGTACCATGCTTGTCTGGGGGGGGCATGAAAATAAATATGATTCGTAGCTGAGTCGTAATCAGCTGAACTCAGCAAAAATCACTCACTGTATGGATCAGATCTCCTTTCACAAGGCCTCAAAGCATCCGGAATGAAGCTATAGGTCCGTGAAGAAAGTTCCTTGCGCTTTTTAAGTGGTCCAATTTTGAACACTTCACTTTGTTCCTAACTTCAAGCAATCTGCCACTGTGCTACTGCCATTGAAATGCTTTGCTTATTCCATCTAGCAGTTAAATCAGCTTTGTTCTTTACCATTTGGCAATTACTTTTTGAGGCCTTGGGCCGGCATACTCGGAGAGCAATTTTGCATGATTTTCTTTTTCTACCTCAAAAAAGGCCTCTAAGGAGCTGAAGCAAGTCAAGATTTTATAGATGCAATTGGATGAGATCTGCAATAAATATGGTCTGGAACGGATGATGGACAATGTAACGATTTAGCAAAAATCTCTTGCGTTGAAGCACGCCTGAACAGGAAAGGCTCCTAATAAAGTGATCGCAATTGCTCTGTGGCTTCCTGTTACAGGAAAGAGCTGGAAAGTCCAAAAAATTTATTAGGGCGTGCCGCGACAACTCACCATTTTGAAGGGTCGTCCCCCACTTTCTAGCTTGTTTTATGTAATGAAAACGACCTGCTTTTACTCATTTGCGACGTACGATAAAGAGCAGATTCTTTGCTACAGCATACGAACTTTTGCTGAATAGATCGACCGCAATCAGGCTCCACAAACTTTGCAAAATTGAAACTGTACTGAAGGAAGGTTGAGGTGACTTTCATAAGGTCAGCGGCTGGTCTAGCTCTTCGGAACCAGGTGGAAATTTTAATGTGGGAGAAGTACTCTTGACAGTATTCCAATATAATCCTAGAATTCTAGCCACATTTAACCAGCGTTCTTCATTATGAAGGAACAGAGTCATCCCTGACAGGTAGCTCGGACGCACATCCCAGAACCAACCCTGCAGAAGTTGAACCAGCTGGGCTACAAATTAATCTTGCGACCATCTTACTCGGTAGGCCTTTTGCCTACCGAGTGAGATGGTCGCAAGACTACTAACTTGTCACTCTCCTGATGTACTGTATAACTTCCTTGACAGGTTATGTTTCCAACATGATGCTGAAACGACCTCCGGGGTTCATCGTCTCTAGAGCTCCAGTATTCTGCACTACCGGGCTGATTCAACGCAGCTATTATTGGCAGAGGTTTGTGGATTCTAACAGTCTTTACTCCAATCAAAAAGGTTTCGAATGAGCCGAGATACAGGCATTTGAAAATCAAGGTCGAAAAGCGCAAGAACTTTCTTCACGACCTAACAGAATTTGTGATGCTTCCGAAGAAGGAATTGATCAGCGTCAAATATTTACCATTTTTATCTGGTTTTCCCTTACTGTCCCACCGCAAAATTCTCTACTTTCTCTCGGGCGCATGGCAGCAATTGCAGTGAAATACGTTTGCATTCTTGAGTGAGTGACATGTCCTGGCCCATTCCCTAGAGATTAATCGACAACTTGTTGTTTACCGCTCGGATATCCTTATGATCTAACTTATTGTACCTTCTCCTAGATTTTTCTCCTGAAAATCGGATTTACTAAATTTAGCTGTGCGTATGGTCCCTTGTCATTAGCTAGAACTGTTCTATCAGTGCTCTGCATCCGCGTTGCTTGTGTGGCTTTTCTCGAACCGACTGTAGTTCCTGGGCTTCCCTAAAGTCTCTTCTTCATAGTGCAGTGCAAACAACGCTTTCCGAATCCCGTGTATCCCTTCGTGATATAGAAGTCACTTCGACATTCTGTTTTTGATGTTTCCTTGTATTGACTTTGTTTCGGAATTTGCCATCGCATTTTTTCATCTCAGTTGTTTCCGATTTTCTGATTAATTTTTTGTTTTTGCGTGGAGTTTCCTCCGTGAGCATTAATGTTTCTTAACTGCTGCCAATAATCGTGACGGAGCATTTGAATGCAGTTGCCAATCAGTCAATGCTTGCCAGTGAAATCTAGCCGTTCTGATCATATGATGTTTTATGGTACTTACTAACGTTGAGCGACACTTAATCCGTTTTTTCAACCGCGTGCCGAGGTAAATTCCATAATCAGCCCCTCCCGTGATCTCGTGATGGAAGGGTCACCCTACAACCCGTCCTCTTCGCTTGGAAATTTTAATCGCTTGGCCACGAATGTGCGAAATGTTCGTGTAGTTCGTCTGACACGCTAAAATTTCACTCTATTTATAAAGTTTCGTCCGCTGAAGTCGGTATCGCACACTTTTCCTCTCTTTGAGTATTTCGGTTGACCTGTCCATATAGCTAAGCATGTATGCACGAATACGCGGCATATTGCGTTATAGCTTCCGGCGATTGACGAAGTAGTAATTGTTCGTCTGAGGAAAGCGAATAACAAACCATTTTAATTTTGTTTTTGTTCATCATAGGTTTCTTTCTTTCCTTATACAGGGAACAACCAAAAGTCTGAAATTACATCTCTTCTGCACTCCGACCTCCATTAGCACCGTCCGCTTTTCGTTCCTTACGTTTCCTTTTTTCGGTTTCCGGTTTGTCTCAATCGAGTTATAAGGCTTTTGGCAAGCACCGTCCATTTGTAGAACGCTTCATTCAATGTGGAAAGTCTTCAGTCCTTTCTGACAACCCGGTGCACCCATCTACCCATTTCTTCCGATTTCTGGGCTGTGCTGAAATCAAATCAGGAATTTTTTTGCCGTTCACACCGTTTCTAAGCCTAAGTTCATAATCTCTTGAAGTTCTTGGCTCTTTTTCCACGCACTTTGAACTGACCCAACCTCTGCTGGTTGACTTTTATGTAGTGCTTTATTTGGTTCTGGTACTCTAGGGTCAAGCGTGCGTTTGAGGAATCCTCGACACGTCGCAGGGGGGGTCGTATTGGCCCGCTGGGTGGAAGAGATCGAGCCATTTTGATGCAGTGGGATCATCACCGTCGGAAGACAAATATCAAGGATGAGTCGATGCCAGGCCAGAGGATTTCCAATGAAAATGATATTTCACCCACACAAAATTTTCGTGATTCTGAGGCGTCCGGTAATTCTTAGTTACTTCAGTGTTTTATCACCACACAAGTTAAAGAATCTGAATTTCGCACGCTTTCCAAGAGATATTTCATCTTTCAAGTAAGACCCCGAATCTGAAGGGATGTGAGGTACACGGCGCATCCGAGAAAGGGTCTAGTTGTTGCGCGCGCTTCAACTACGGCTCCTTGGACAAACAACCTCAATTCAGGAACAATCGAGAGAATTCTGAAAGTGTCCGTGCGCATTTACAGGGAGGTGTACACCATTCAACATTGCGTTAACGGACTCTTCAGGGTTAAATTTATAAACATGTAACCTTTAAAGTTGAGAAACGCTAATCAATCACTTTTCTTAGAAAGAGAAAAGCAGTGATTCAAATCTGCTCTTACTTTAGTACATAATCGCCCTTAAAAGGATATACAGCCGTTGAAATAGTGCCAATGTAGCGAAAAAGTACCTTTCGGCGGTACTCGTGCAAAATCCTCAACGTAGCCGTTTTTTTAATACTGGACGTTTGGAGCAGTTCTAGTAAGCATTTGATAGAGCAAATCTTCTAGTTTATGATGGCGTATTTACTTTTCGGATTGGATGAGTTTGAACGGAGTTATGGCTTTAGGAAGTAAAAAAACTCGCATGTTGTGGATACACAACCTATATATTTCTCCTAATAGAACTAGGATTCATAGAAATGATTGATAACATGCTAGTTCAACTTATTAACCATAGGCATAACTTGATATGAGTATCTCTTGAGATGATACCGCAGGCATGACCCGGCGGTATCATAAGTGTGCAATCAAGTAGGTTCTGCCGTCGGCGCGGTCCGCTCTTTCATTCCCCAAACTTGAGTACCACCGCTGGCCCCTACGGTCCAGCGACGGTACGATATCTGAGGACCGCCCACATATTGTGTATATAAACCCCGTGAATGTATTATTGTGGTCGATACTTGTGCTAAACGTAGTAATAAATCCTTGTTGCACGTCCTTAGTACAGTCTTCCTTTGGTAATCCACCAAATTGGTGCATCGACCGTTGGAAACGATCCCTTCTGCGCTAGCTTTCCCAGTGAAAGACAGAAGGTGAACTACTTCATCAACCAGCCGAATTTCCTCACAATTCCTCCCTGAGGAACGGAACTTTGGCAAACCTTTGACTACATCACTAGTCAAAAAGTCTAATTTCACAAGTTATTCCTCCCTGAGGAATACGGAAATCAGACTAAACCTTCTGCGCTAGCTCTCCCAGTGAGAGACAGAAGGACACTTCCATTGTTTTCCACCAGCTGGAAACAAAAAAAAAAAACCTTTCAAGCAAATTTTCTTCTTGTAAGAAAAGAAAGGTAAACTTCAAGCCTCCTACACCTCCTCCAGAAGGAAGTAGGACTTGAACATAAAGACCTACCAAGCTTCTTCTCTACAACGAGAAAAGGTGGGCAGAAAAACCAGTTCTTCCAAGCAAATTGGAAAGAAACTTGGGAATTTTCCTGCGAGTTCTCCATAAGGAACCGGGAAACAATCACTCATCTTCTGCGCAAATTCTCCCCAGTGAGAAAACAGAAGAAATCCTAATTTTCGAACAAGTCCTCCCTGAGGAACACGGAAATTTGGCAAAATTTTGGCTACATCACTAGTCAAAAAGTCAAGTTTTCACACTAAATTCCTCCCTGAGGAACTCAAAAAAGACCCGCGTGGCAGGAAATTCATCCTACACGAAACCAAGGTGTTTCAAAAGAAATATCGAACTGAGCTCAAGCTTCAAACAGTTTAGACGCTCACTGGTTTCGAACAACTTGTGCTCAAATCTAAGCATAAACAACCCACCGATCTCAAACAACCCCAGCACTAAAAATGGCTGAGATTCAACTGTTTAAGACCAGAATCACGAATGCATGCAAGCTGATCCGTTCAAGCGAGTCAGATCTCAAGCTTTTAGACAACCCGTTCATATTCCCAACTCAAAAGGAGGTATGCGAGGTGTATATAAGAGAAAAGACAGCACAGCTAAACCATTTGATAACAACGATCACTAAGGCGAAGCAGCTCCACGATACCTGTCTTGACAAAGCGATCGAAACAATTAGTTCACGTTCGGAGCAGAAGGATCGAGAAAAGCTAATGCTTGAGCTTAACAACCACATGGAGCTCGAATCAAATGGTCTAGAAATCACAATAATACAATGGCTGAGCAAGATCGACTTCAGAAAGGAAGAGTTGATGCAGCAAGCTTCATTCATAGCGGAAGCCATTAGCATTGCCAACCAGGCTGGTAGCAGTCAGAACAATTCTCACAGCGGAGGTGACACTGTCAATCCATACGACCGCAACATACGAGTTCGACGCCCTCTGCTCGAAGTCCCAACCTTTTCTGGAGACTTCAGGGAGTTCAATACCTTCTGGTCAGTCTTTGAGTCCCTCATACACAAAGATACGGACTTGAGTGACCAAGAAAAATTCCTTTTTCTGAAACAAGCACTAAAAGGAAAGGCAGCTGCTTCAATCAACAGCATTCCAGTCATTGGTGACAAATACAGCGTCGCTCTGAATATACTTAAGAAACAGTTCGATAGATCATCAGGCATAGCGGACATCTTAATAAACGAGATTGAGCATCTGCCTAGGGCACAAGAAAACTCGAGAAGTTGCCGCGATACACTCAATGCCATATCTTCTCGAATCGTGCACCTGGAGCAAACTGGAATGCCAATGAACGCAGACAGAGTATGGCGACGCCTTATTCTCTCAAAATTCACAGAGAATATCTGTAGCCAAGTAATCAAGAAAGAAAACGAAGGTGGCACAGGATTCGAAGTGAAGAATATTCTTGACGCCGTTGATGAAATTATAACTCTTCAAGAAACTACCGAGCTAACAACAAAGACGTTGTTCGGTACTCAAACCACGCAAGCCATGCAGAACAACGCCAGAGGACATGATAACGGACGCCACCAAAGCAAGCAGTCCCCAAGTCATCGAATGAGGCATGCATGTCTGTGTGGAGAAGCGCACTCACCACATCAGTGCGCCAGGTTCCCTACACCTGAGGCTCGCCGAATGGAAGCCAAGCGCCAGGGAATGTGCTGGAAATGTTTCGATAAAACTCATGGGTCGAGATCATGCACAGCAATGGGACCATGCCCGAAATGCACGGAGGATCACCATTCTTCGCTCTGCATAACATCGAGATTTGGTCTGGAGCCAATGAGCTTGTCCAATCGGCGACAAGACCCACCACAAAGTTCTGCTCAGCATGAAACTGCTAGAGCTCCATTCTCACCACCAACCAACCGCTATCGGCAGCTAGAACAAAGAAACAACAACCAGGCAAGGCAAGCGGATAGAGTGCAAGCATTACACGCTGCTCTCATTGAAGGCATGACTTCGCAGTCGAAACAACCGACAACCACTCAGTGCGTACTACAAACAGCGTCGTTGCTAATCTTCAATGAAGCCGAAATGGAATACCAACCAATCAATGTTCTCCTTGATTCAGGGAGCTCAGAAAAGCTTTCTAAAAGCGGCGAAGATCAAAATCAACTGCAACTTCCCACCCGAAGCTCTACAAAGTTCACCACCATAGGCATGGGTGAGCTTCAGGAGACCTTTCGACGTGCTCAAGAAGTTAGTATAACTCTGAAAGCCTGCACAGCTCTAGAAAGTTGATACGGCAGGTGGTTCACTCCAAACCTAAGCTAACAGCACCCACATGGACAGCACAACTATCTCATTCCGACAAACGCTTCATCAATGAAAGAAACTTCTCAATTGCTCAATGCAGCCTTGAATCGTCCGAGATTACACCTGATCTTATAATAGGACAGGATCTTCTCAATCAAGTCTTATGCTGTGACACACCAGCAATGATCCTTCCATCAGGACTCATTTTAACCCCCACTATATTCGGATACACGATCTCCGGATCGAGCAAGGTTACCTCTGCCAAAATCAAAGACGATTTTGTGCGCAGCACACATTTCAACGTTGTGCCAATCTCTACCGCAACTGAAGGACAGGAACGAAACATTACGCGTAAGGTAGATCCACGCCGTAAACACATGCCTAGACGAACGTCTAGAAGGAAACACCGGCAGCAAGCAACACAAACGAGCGATAGCAGGAAGCAGGACTGTATGAAGCTCGACAGCTCGTCAAAGTCTTCCGCACGTGCTCTGCTACTGCTGCCTTATCGCACCGGAAGGGACGAGAATAACTACAGCCACAACTTCGGGAAAGAATATTTCGACTGCGACAACAGAAGTCAGCGCAGCAAGCCAAGAATTAATGGACATCCTACCACGTCTACACACTCCGAGCAGCATCTGAGGAACAACTCCAATCATTGGAACCATTTTCATCATGATTATTGTGTTTAATTGTTTTAGATTCAAGTAACATAGCTCTTTTATTGTACTTCTAATTACCGCTTATTTTCCCTTGCCCCATGTTGTGGACGAACAATCGTCGTCATATCAGAACAGAAATCTATCTCACCATTCAATTCAGGGTGTGCTGAAATAGTCACTTATTTTGTTAGATTTTATTACAGCTTTTGCAGCTACCGCTTCATTTCGCCCCGCCCCAGTGTTGTGGATACACAACCTATAACTCCTAATAGAACTAGGATTCATAGAAATGATTGATAACATGCTAGTTCAACTTATTAACCATAGGCATAACTTGATATGAGTATCTCTTGAGATGATACCGCAGGCATGACCCGGCGGTATCATAAGTGTGCAATCAAGTAGGTTCTGCCGTCGGCGCGGTCCGCTCTTTCATTCCCCAAACTTGAGTACCACCGCTGGCCCCCTACGGTCCAGCGACGGTACGATATCTGAGGACCGCCCACATATTGTGTATATAACCCCCGTGAATGTATTATTGTGGTCGATACTTGTGCTAAACGTAGTAATAAATCCTTGTTGCACGTCCTTAGTACAGTCTTCCTTTGGTAATCCACCAAAACTCGCACTCATCACAAATTTTCCTCGTTAATTTTGCAAAAATCCTCAACGTGGCCATTTTTTGAATACTGGACGTATGAAGCTGCTTTAGCGACCGTTTGATAGAGAAAATCTTCTAGTTTTGTATGACGTATCAACTTTTTGAATTTGACGGAAATGAAGCAAGTTATTGCTCCGGAAAGTGTAAAAACTCGTGCTCGTCTCGAATTTTCCCTCGTTATTTGATCTAAATTTGTTATTTCTTATAACTTCCTGTAATTTCAGTACTGATTAGAAGAAGCTCTTCACAAAACTTCCAAATCTGCTTTCAGATTGAAAATTCGTCATATTTGAAGAAAGTTATAATCATTTGAATATTTGTTCAAATTTCAATAGTAAATAAGCTGCTCCACGGTCAACGCCAAAGTCCAGTCAACACACAGCTGGCGAAGGCGGTTAAAAAGCTTCTTTCAACTGAAGGGCTACGTGCAAATTGAGAACCACAATCTGTGTAGTACTAGAATTTGGTAAGTCTTGTGGAGGAAATAAATAAGAAGATGTTGTCATAGGTATGCCATTTTTAGTGGCTAGTTTGTCGTTTTCTGGTCTGTTTCTCGTTTGCTCGTTTGGTAGGACTCATCAATAATGATTATTCTTTGACTTTTTCACTTTTTTAATTCTTAAACGAATTTTTTTGTGGGCGGTGGGGTAGCAGGGCATTTATGAGCACTTTTGGGGGAGAATCAAACAAGCTTTTCAACCTTTTCATAGTTCGGCTTTTGAAGAGGGTTGTTTCATGGACTTCGGCCTCCGGCGGAGGGTGGTGGGGGGGGGTCGTATTTCCAAATTTTCCTCAACGCCTCGCTTGACCCTGTCTGACACATTCAGTAAAACATTAAACAAACAACGCTTTAGACTATTGATGTCGAGGCCGGAAAATGTCCCTATCAGTGCTACCGTTTTCATTCGAGGCACGATTCCTCACATGGAGCAGAGCTACAATTTCAAACGGATGCCCGCATGAGGTCTTGAGGTAGTCAAGTGAGAGTGAAAGGAATATCCGCCACCAGCAGCAGTCGAACCTTATAATGGTCTGGACTTGGTTCTCAACTACCGAACGTCTGCTCACTCGAGCTCACTAGCTCGTTACAAAGGGATATACAACTTGGATCACCAGACTCACATGCAGCCAAGAGACATTTCGTGCACCTCTCTTACTTGAGGTATCACCACTCGAGGACGGGTGATACATTCAGGCTACTCAATTCTCAGAAGGACCCACCTCCTCTGCATAAAGAGGCAATAATTGTTTGGAGTAAGCGCTGTATAAGAACACGTCTCTCGATTATCAACATCCTTTGAAAACTGAATGCCTGTTTCTATCTGCTCCGATTTCAGCTTGCTGAACTATATCCTATGTAGGGGACGAGCCTGCACTAAACACTGCATCCACGTGGATGAGCCGTAGCCTTTGCTCTGCGAAGTTTCGAAGAAAACACCCCAGGATGCCCTGCGGGCCACAGTAGAGTTGCGTTTGAAGCAATTTGGAGCCATACTCACAACAACAGGGGAAACATAGCGAAATCCATATAATATCAATTCGCTTTTCAATAGTAAATGGTTTTGCTAAATTTCTTTGTCAATAACTTCGTATAGCATACATTATGACGAAGTTACATATACGAAGAAGACGAAGAACATCCGGCTCCGTGCCCACCTCTTCGATTCCGCTGTCCTTCCTGCCCTAACCTACGCCTCAGAGACTTGGACTCTGCGCAGGCAGGACGAGCATGCGGTCAGCGTTATCCAACGCGCTGTCGAGAGGACGAAGTAACCCTATACACGCAAGTGCAGAGGGGAATCCGGAGTTCGAACTACGCCAACGATCGAAGATCAGGGACGCTGCCGTTTTCGCCAAGGAATCGAAGATAAGGTGGGCCGGACACGTCATGCGATTTTGCGATGACCGTTGGACCAGAGCGGTTACCGACTGGATCCCTCGGGACGTCAAACGAACACCTGGACGACCGCCGGCCCGATGGTCAGACTTCTTCACGAAAGCTCTGAACGAAAGGAATGAAGGACATCGTGTCCCTCGAGCGAGGAGGGTCCACTGGACAACTCTTGCACGCGACAGGGACGAATGGAGACGTTGCTGGCGCCCGCTCGAGCAATCGATGATCAACGGGACGACAGGTGGGCCGGGTGGTACATTCATGAAAAGTAGTGCACATATTTATTGGGAAACGCTGTATTAACGAGAACTTCATATTGGCCAAGCCTTCACCGTCTATGAAGGGCATTTGTGAAAGTGAGAAATGATAGGTCGAACAAAGTGATAGCAGTCGACGGATGATTACTCATTATCATCACATGTCAATAAATTGCACATTCTGTGGTATGGTGTGCATTACTTCATACTCGAATTCGACACAAGAAGGTCACTTCGAAGCGATGTCTGCGGGAACTTCATTGTCGCCGGTAAAGACACTGCTTGTTTTCACTTCTTAGTACTGATAGTTTCTCAATCAGTTACTTAGTATTTCAGTCAACTCCGGGTGAGCAAGCTCACCTTCGACGCATTGTGACGCCAAGCTACGATGCACAGAAATCATCACAAGGCGGCCGAGACTACAGAACCAGCTCCAAACGATGATCAAGACAGAGTGCAAATTCGTCGGAAAGGGACACCAACTTACACTTCGCCAAGGCGTCATGGGCGTAAGTTAGCAGCGACCAACAGTCGAGTGCACAAATCTGGCGCCCATCCAGCGCTGAAAAAAGCGGATTCACCATAGTCGCAGCACCAGGTGAATAAGTCGAGACCGTCATCCTGGTGGTGGGCCTCACAAACGATGGCGAAATCCCGGGCCATGAATCAGCTGCCGCAACGAGGAGCACCGAGAGAAGGTCGCTTCGCCGAAAATGACGGCAACCTTACAATTTTGCATAAGCCGGTCCGAGGGCGTCAAATTCAGTGCCGACACGGGGGCAGTCACCCCGCTCGCAGCAAAATCTAGCGGTGAAAAAGCGGATCCACCCCATAGTCGCAGAGGTAGCGGTGAAAATATGCGAGGGTGTACTTCAAGACGCTTCCAAAGAAGGAAAAGCAAAGTCCGATAGTTCAGAACCAGCTTCGAGCAGGGAGCACGAGAAAGCGTCACTTCGTCGGAAGCCGACGCCAAGTCACAATCCACCCGATCATCAAGGACGAAAACTTAGCGGCGAAAAAATGGATTCACCATTACCACATGATGGTAGAGCTCAAGCTGGCAAAAAGGTCAGATCGTCCCCAGGCTTCCAGTGCTGAGAAGATTAGAGCGTCTCCAGCTACCAGTGCCGAAAAGATTAGAGCGTCTCCGGCTACCAGTGCTGAGAAGGTGAAATCGGGGACAGATACACATGAGAGGAATAAAATCGTCGAACCACGTCGATGCAGAACTCCATCATGTGAGAAGACCAGATCTGGTAACAAATCCAAATCTTTAGAAGGACTACCAAAGCGACGAAGCCGTGAAAGCCTACAAGGGAAATAGTCACGTGAAGCATCTTTTCTTCGAAAAACGAAAAATCAACAGCAACTGCGAATGTTTTCTCTTGAAGACATACGGTTAAAAATAAATTTTAAGTACGACTTGTGAAGGCTGTTCAGTTCACAAAAGAGTATGTATGGGTATTGATTGCTTGAGAGTGGTACCATGGTATTATTACGACCGGTCA